TTACTTGTATCTTAAGGGAAGAGACAGAGCTATGTAAAGAAGAGGGGCAAGACAGGGGAACACTTTTTTTTGTTTTCTGAGACAGAGTCTTGCTCTGTTGCCCAGGCTAGAGTGCAGTGGAGTGATCTCGGCTCACTGCAACCTCTACCTCCTGGGTTCCAGTGATTCTCGTGCCTCAGTCTCCCAAATAGCTGGGACTACAGGTGTGCACCACCATGCCTGGCTAATTTTTTGTATTTTTAGTAGAGATGGGGTTTCACCATGTTGCCTAGGCTGGCCTTGAACTCCTGACCTCAAGCATTCCTCCCTCCTTGGCCTCTCAAAGTGCTGGGATTACAGGCGTGAACCACCACACTCAGCCAACATTCTATTTAGAGAAGAAATTATGTGTAAAGCATAGAGGTGTGAGACACAGTGGCTTTTCTGATATGCACAAAGCCAGTGTGAATTACTAAAGCAAACATTTTCTGAAAAATAGAGGTAAAAGATTCTGGAAAGGTAGGTAGGGGCCAGGTTGTAGAAGATTCAGAATGCATGGTCAGATATTGGGAGCCAAAAATGGTTTTAAGTATGTACTTATGTAGCCACATTGAGTCTCATAGGCTTTTTTTGAGGGGACAAAGTTAGAGTTAAGGTGACTAATTATATGACTATACAGTTTAGGTGAGTAATGGTGGTGGTTTGAACGATGGCACCAGTGATAGCACTTGAAAGAAAAATTCGGTGGACCTCAATACAGATTTGGTGGAATGATTGGTAAACAGTGAGGAATTTCAGATAATTTAGTTGTCGCTCAAGAAAATGAATAGGCTATAGTATAATTAACTGAGGAACATGAACAAGGGATATATTTGTGTGAGGAAGTGGTGATTTTGATTTTTTAGCACATGTGAGATACCCAAGTGTGTTTTTTCCTGTAGATCAGGGGTGTCCAGTCTTTTTGGCTCCCATGAGCCACACAGGAAAAATTGCCTTGGGCCACATGTAAAATACACTTATGATAGCTGATGAGCTAAAAAAAATATTTTAAAATCTCATAATGTTTTAAGAAAGTTTACAAATTTGCTTTGGGCCGCATTCAAAGCCATTCTTGGCCATATGTGGCTAGCAATTTGAATCTGAAAATATTCAATAAGAATATTGGAAAATAGATTTAGCTATAGGTATATAGATTGAGCAGAAAGTAGTAGCTTGTGCTCTACTTTCTTGTGTTTTTTTTTAATGAGTGCTGTTACATAGGGTGCTTATAAATAGATTGTGGTTAAAGAGTGAACCCTGGGAAACAGCGATGTTTCCTGGGATAGGTTGAACAAAAACAGCAGCCAACATGGAAGATAAAGCTGGAGGGACCAAGGAGGTAGGAAGAATAGCAGAAGAATGAAGTGTTATGTAAATTGAGTGGACTGAGTGGCCACAGTTTTCAAAAAGAAGCTAGAAGTCCAATGTAAAATGATTTTTTAAAATGCCTTTTGGATTTGACATTCTAATATTTGTGGATCTTTTCCAGGGATGTTTCAGGGATAATAAGAATTGAGAAACTGAAGGAATTGTGTGTAGACAATTCTTTTGATGAAATGTATTAAGAATGGAAAAAAATGTACATAAGGAATAGCCACAGGAGAACATGGGGTCAAGAAAGGGTTCTTTAGGATGATAATGATTTATTAGTATCATTTTAAATAGCATTATGATAAAAATCAGTAGAGCACAATAGTTCAAAATTATAGGAAAGAAAAAGTAGTGTCCTCTGCATATGGCACAGGATGGTATCTACAGCACCAGTGTAAGGGCTTGTTCTGAATGAAAGAAGTAACCTTCTGGCAATAAAGGTAAGGAGTGCAGATGGGGAACAGGTGATCTGAGAGGGAGGGAACATGGGGATTTTGTGGGATGATTGACAGGAGTAGTGTCAAGTTTTTGAATAGTTACTGAGGGAAATAAAATTCTGACCAGAGTTATTGAGAAGAACTTGGCACTTAGCAAAGTTTAGCAAATATGAATTTGTAGTGACACCAAGTAACTCTTTCTAAGTTTTCTGTTTATATTAGTCCGTTTTCACACTGCTGATACAGACATACCCAAGACTGGGCAATTTACAAAAAAAAGAGGTTTATTGGACTTACAGTTCTACTTGGGTGGGGAGGCCTCACAATCATGGTGGAAGGCAAGGAGGAGCAAGTCACATCTTACATGGGTGGCAGCAGGCAAAGAGAGCTTTTGCAGAGAAACTCCCATTTTAAAAACCATCAGATCTCATGAGACCCATTCACTATCACGAGAACAGCATGGGAAAGACTTGCTCCCATGATTGAATTATCTCCTACTGGGTCCCTCCCACAAATGTAGGAATTATGGTAGCTACAAGATGAGATTTGGGTGGGGACACAGAGCCAAACTGTATCACTGTCCTAACTTTACACTTTAATTTTGAAACTTGAGTATAAAATCTAAAATCAATGAGTGAAATAGACAAAGATTAGAAAGTTCTATGCTGGAAATTGGGACCTATACTATTTCCTCTTCATGTCTCTAGCAATTTGAGTTGCTCATTTATCTGCATTTTTGTATGGTATGTCATTCTAGTTAAAATGTCTCATCAAGCACCTAATTCAGTTTAAGTGCTAGAAATACATGCACAATAGGATAAAACAAGTCGATTAACACTACTTTAAATTTTTCAGTAAAAAGAAAATTTGTATGAATATTTTTTCTACCTTTTCTGTTTCACAACTTGAGCATGTTTTTTATTATTTTTGCCTAGATCAATTTTATCTTCAGCTTCTTTTATTCATTCTTATGACAAAAATGACATCCGTCATTCCAAACCTCTGCTAGTTCAGGTAAGAATTAGGTTATTTTTTTGTTACATATTTGTAATTCTAGATTTCTTTAAAAAGACAAATATTCTATAATAACTAGAATGTTATTTTACATATTCACTGAAATTGAGTAACTTAGGCTGGTGCTTATTTCTACCTGGCACAAATTTATTAGGTAATTGCCAATCATATTAAAGTAGAAATGTAGCTAAAGTAATAAATAGTAAATGTAGCTAAAGTAAAAAATAAAAAAATATCAAGTAATAAATATAAATAAATATAAAGAATATATTTGGGGTATATATTTAAAAAATAAGTTATCCATTAATTTTTCTTTTTTTTTTCTTAGATGGATTGCAATTATAATGGATATGTTGCGGGTATTCCAAATTCTCTTGTGACCCTCAGCGTGTGTTCAGGACTCAGGTTGTAGACTACTTAAAGATACTCAATTTGCCAATATTATATCCTGGTAGCCTATGAATTAATTCTCCATGTATCTGTTCTAATTCTATAATCACCTTTGTCATTTCAATTCCTTAAGGACTGAACCAAAATTACTAATAAAATAGGATTGATATTCCAGCAATATCTGTTCCTGATGAGAGGCTACTTGTTGATACTGACAGGATCTGCTGCTTTAGGCTTTAAGAAAGCTTGCGTGTAGGGAGATTGATTGGTCTCCTCATACTTTTTTAGTTTTCTCAAATTCTGTTCTTGTCCAATTTCTTAATGTCCTAGAATAATTGACAATTGTGGAATGCATGGGATAATGGACACTGGCTCTGCAGTCAGTAATTATTAGGCCTATTGTGCCTTCAATTCAGCCCACACAAACAAATGATTTAGGGTATCAAGTGTCAGAGGAGAGTTAAGTGTATCAAAGAGAAGGAATCAAAGACTAAAGAAGAGACTGCCTAGAGATTCTACAGGCTGGTTAGAAAATCTACACAACAGAAAGGGGTTTCAACCTGTTTAAGTGCACAGATCCATGCCACTACCATGCTTTCTTGAAGATAATCACAGATTTGTAATGTAAGGTAACATGTATCCTGTGATATAGTGGTCCAGTTCTGGTGTAAGAAAGACCCCAAAAGATAAAGAGATAAAAGTAAAAAAACCTAAGGTCTTAAAACTTAAAAACTTTAAATCTTAAAAACTGTGGCCCAAATTTCTCACTATAATATTATGGTTTTGGTAGAATCATTTCAGACTTGTTTCGATTGTCTTAACACTCAGGGGAACAATGCAGCTGAAAAACATCTCATATGGAATTGAACCAATGGAGGCTGTATCAGGATTTATACACAAGATTTATGAAGAAAAATTTGCTGACACTAATATTCTCTTAGAAGAAAATGACACTTATTCTTGGTTTAATTCAGAGTATCAAGTCAGAAAAAGTTCAGAAGTAAGTATTGGCTCTTTTATTTTAATTTAGTATAATTTTGTGTAATAAAAAATACTTTCAGAGCCAAGATTTGGTGACTTATAAATCTTAAAACTATTTTACTTTTTCATGAGGGCTCTACGTGACTTTTACAATGGCGAGAGAATAAACTTATGTTTGTCATTATGCTTGCCATTAGATGAAAGCTTAGCAAAAACTTAATCTTAGAAATATGAAGATATGAGTATAGTATAAAAGAAACTGGAACATTAATTTTCATATGTGAGCATTTAGATAATTAATGTAAAATATTCCTTTTCTTTAATTACTCAGATAATTTAGGAGAGAATATTATACAACCTGGATTTCCCAGTTGACAGTTCAAAAATGGATGAGTGACTTACATAAAGTATATGTAAAGCAAAGCGATGAATTTTTTTCTCTACCAAGACCCATAGACTGCCTTAAATAATATGTCTGGCTCTAGCAAATTGCCATTGGTTGTAAATTTTAATATTTTTCTAGACTACATTGTTTGCCAAAAGTAACTTCCTAGTAATTGGTAGCAGAAAATCTGCTTGCATGAAAGATTAGTATGAAAAATTATCAAAAGGCTGAGAAAAACCAAAGCTTTAGGTTATAAACTGAAAATTTCAGTTTCAATTATTATAAAAGTAAAAGATACCTGAGTTCTTACGTATCTTGAGAAGTCTAATAGAAAAGTCTTACTACCCAGGGCACTTTGAACTGGAATCTTCTGAATAGTACCTAAATTTTGTACTTGAAAATAGCCTCGTCCTTTCGGCCGGAACCGCCATCTTCCAGTAATTTGCCAAAATGACGAACACAAAGGGAAAGAGGAGAGGCACCCGATATATGTTCTCTAGGCCTTTTAGAAAACATGGAGTTGTTCCTTTGGCCACGTATATGCGAATCTATAAGAAAGGTGATATCGTAGACATCAAGGGAATGGGTACCGTTCAAAAAGGAATGCCCCACAAGTGTTACCATGGCAAAACTGGGAGAATCTACAACGTTACCCAGCATGCTGTTGGCATTGTTGTAAACAAACAAGTTAAGGGCAAGATTCTTGCCAAGAGAATTAATGTACGTATTGAGCACATTAAGCATTCTAAGAGCAGAGATAGCTTCCTGAAACGCGTGAAGGAAAATGATCAGAAAAAGAAAGAAGCCAAAGAGAAAGGTACCTGGGTTCAACTGAAGCGCCAGCCTGCTCCACCCAGAGAAGCACACTTTGTGAGAACCAATGGGAAGGAGCCTGAGCTGCTGGAACCTATTCCCTATGAATTCATGGCATAATAGGTGTTAAAAAAAATAATAAAAGACCTCTGGGCTGAAAAATGTTTCTCTTCATTGAGTAGAAGTGTGGTGTCCTCTCCCCCAAAGAAATACTTAAAGCAAATTTTAGTTGTGTCCTAATTCATTATGTAATGTCTTTCCTATTCAAATTTAATGTATTCCTTGCTGAAGGATGTAAGGTAGCTTATTGTGCAACAGATTACTCAGTTGGTTAGAAAATGGCCAGGTATTATGTATGAAATATTTGTACTGGTTTGAAGATAGTCTTAAATCATCAAGGAAGAAATAAAGTAATTTTTTTTTTCAGACAGTCTTGCTCTGTCAACCTGGTTGGAGTGCAATGGCGTGATCTCGGCTCACTGCAACATCTACCCTCTGGGTCCAAGCGATTCTGCCTCAACCTTCTGAGTAGCTGGGATTATAGGCGCGTGCCACCGTACCCAGCTAGTTTTTATATCTTTGGTAGAGACGGGGTTTTACCATGTTGGTCAGTCGGGTCTCGAACTCCTGCCCTCGTGATCCACCTGCCTCGGCCTCCCAGTGCTGGGATTACAGGCATGAGCCACTGTGTCAGGCCATATAAAATAAATTACAAAAATAAGTGGGATATAATCTATTGCATTACAGTTAAGCTCAGGATCCAGAGTTTGCTTTTGAACCCTAAAAAAACACATTGTTTAAAGTATCCATTTGTGTGTTATATACTAGTTTGGAATTGCTTTGACCATGCATGAAACAGAACTCAGAAAATAATAGTGGTAATAGCATTTGTGTTAGGCCATTGTCTTGCTGTAACAATATGCCACAGACCTGGGTAAGCAGTAGAAGCTTATGTGGTGGATCTGGAGGCTCTGACGTCCCAAGATAAAGGTGCTGGCAGGTTTGGTATCGTATGAAGGTTTGGCCTTCACTTACCTCTTGATAATTCCACAATGGGAGTTCCTTTTTTTTTTTTTAATTGAATATTTTATTTTGAGATAATTGCAGATATACATGGAGTTATAAATAATAAAGATTCCTTGTACACTGTAAAAAAAGAAAAAAAAAAGAAAATAGCCTCATTGTGTAATCAGGAGCAATATATCTTTCAGTTTATCTCTCAATATAATTTCAGTAGAAGGTAAATTTTTGTAAATTCCTCATGACTCATGTTATGTGTTTTTCAGAAAACTGACTTTATTAAGTTATTCCCTCGATATATTGAAATGCATATTGTTGTGGACAAAAATCTGGTAAGTCTTACTTTATGCATCATTGTTTTAAAACTAGTATATCTCTTTAACTTGATTTCAGTGAGCCAATGAAAATTACCAACCATGCTATATTGCATTTGCAATGAACACATTCTTATAGATTATAAATCAAGTTTTTGTTATTTTGTACATAGCATCTACTCACTTTTGCAAAGTGAAGCATCTTAATTTCTAAAGCTTGTTGACTATTGTTGATTTTTCAAAAAACCTACATCCTCAGTGAAAGGATAGATTGCAACTCCCTTAAGCCCTCAACCCTCATATACAATAATAATATTTAACTGCCTCAGTCTAATTGGAAGGATGGTCTATAAAACAAATATGCCACTTCTTTAAAGCAAAAGGAGAAAACATTATCACCTGTTTTCTTCTCAGTTCTAGGTAAATGAAACAACGAGAAAAACAAATGAACAAAATACTCATATTGAGAATTCATGGCTATACTTTGGATCTCTTATAGATTTAGGCTCCGAATATTTATTACCTATGTGGTTAGGATTCTAATCCATGAGGCTACATTTGTCCCAGATTGGTAAAAGCCGAGGGTGCATGAGGGAAGCGAATAGTATTTATATCTGGGGGAATGCCACTTCAGGCAGAATACCTCAGGACTCCTACAGATTAATATCAGCCATACATATATGGGCTCACAATCCATAAGGAAATAAAACACCATGAACAATGGTTAGCAAAACAAAAAATACATGTATGGCTAATATTAATTTTTTTTAAATATAGTTTATGATTGGCAGAACAGTAAGGTGTCTGTCATTAACAATAACTTATTGTATATTTTAAAACAACTTAAAGAGTGGAATTGGAATGTTCCTAACACAAAGAAGTGATATTAATGAATGTTTGAGGTAATGGATATCCCAGTTACCCTGATTTGATCATGACACATTGTATGCCTGTATCAAAATATCACATGTACCCCATAAGTATGTATAACTATTATGTACCCATAATAGCTAAAAATAAAAAAATTAAAATAAAATACAATATTTTTCCCCTCAAAGAATCTGTTGATTCCAGAAAGGGTGAATATGAGTCAGGGTTGCTGAGCAAAATGTTGGCAGGAATAACAGAACTTGAAGTTCATGGCTCATTAGAATTGAGTCGAGGGTACGTTAGCATAGCTAAGTTGACCCAGTACAAAGCAAATGCATACCCTGAAATAATATTTCTATCAAATTACAAAATCAGAGGGAGGAAAGCAGAATTTTAAGCATAATCAACAAAAAGAAGGCAATTAAGAGAAAGAAAAACACATATTTAGGATTTGTTTCATAAACCTGGAACAAATTTGAAAGCTAATGTTAAGACAAAAGGTTTAAACTGAAATACCTAAGTAATTATATGTAGGGGGATTAAGTACTGCAATTAAAAACCAAAGATAAAGATTAATTAAAAGCAAAGACAAAGATTATCGTACAACACACACACACATAAACACACAGACATTCTGCTTACAAATGACATATGTAAAATATCGTACATAAGTAACAAAAGTAAAATAATGGAAAAATATAAACAAATTTAAAAAACTAGTTTAGCTGAATTAATATCAGACAAAGTAGATTTTTAGACTTTAAAGTATTTCTATTGTTGTGTAGCAAACCACTCTAAAATTTAGTGGCATAAAATGTAACAATTTATTTCTTTGACTGGGAACCCAGAGACTTTTTGCATTTTTACCAATCTTAGACCCTTTTAGTTTAACTTGGTGGCCTTTCATTGAAATAGCTATCAGATATGGTTTTGCTGTGTCCACACCCAAATCTCATTTTGAATTGTAGTTCCCATAATCCTCATGTGTCATGGGAGGGACCGGGTAGAGATAATTGAATCATTGGGGCAGTTTCCCCAATCCTGTTCTCACGATAGTGAGTTAGTTCTCATGAGATCTGATGGTTTCATAAGGTGCTCCCCCCTTTGCTGGGCACTCATTCTTCTCCTTGATGCTGCCATGTGAAGAAGGACGTTGATATGGTTTGGCTGTGTCCCCACCCATATCTCATCTTGAATTGTAGTTCTCATTATTTTTACGTTTGGAGGGTAGGACCCAGTGGGAGGTAATTGAATCATGGGGATAGGTCTTTCCTGTGCTGTTCTTGTGATGGTGAGTAAGTTTCATGAGATCTGATGGTTTTATAAAGGGCAGTTCCCCCGCACATGTTCTCTTGCCTGCCGCCATGTAAGACATGGCTGCTCCTCCTTCACCTTCTGCCATGATTGTGAGGCCTCCTCAGCCATGTGAAACTGTGAGTCAAGTAAACCTCTTTCCTTTATAAATTACCCAGTGTCAGGTATGTCTTTATTAGCAGTGTGAGAACAGACTAATATACTATCTTAAATATTTTGTGGGATTTCTTTTTTAAACATTTTTTTTTTCCCAAAGAGAAAGTTCCTTAAATTAAGATTTCAAAACATAGGAATACACTTAGGAGGTATCAGCTACTTTATTAAAACAAAATACACATTGCTGTGAGGTTACTTGTGGCAACTATGAGGACTAACTTAGGTCTAGGTGCAGTCTAGTCGGGGGCTTGCAGGGGAAGTTCTCCTAGTGCCCTTTCTAGAAATGGTCACTAGTAGGAAATTGCCCATTCCTCTGGTTGTTTTCCAAATGGCATGTTTATGTCTGGATTTGCTTGCAGCACCGTTTGTTTGATTGCTTCTAGGTGAAAAGGGATACAGTTTATAAGAAGGTTTAAAATATTGGGCTAGAATATGAGTATAGTGAGGGAGCACAGGTTCATTGTGTTTAATAATATATTAAATGGTAGTGCTTATAAGTGCATGATTTGGGAATCAGAGAGACTGGGGATTGAATCTTCATTTTGCTCATTAGAACTCTATTTTTCTTTTTTTCTTTTTTTTTGAGACGGAGTCTCGCGCTGTCGCCGGACTGGAGTGCAGTGGTCGGATCTCAGCTCACTGCAAGCTCCGCCTCCCGGGTTTGCGCCATTCTCCTGCCTCAGCCTCCCGAGTAGCTGGGACTACAGGCGCCCGCCACCTCGCCTGGCTAGTTTTTTGTATTTTTTAGTAGAGACGGGGTTTCACTGTGTTAGCCAGGATGGTCTCGATCTCCTGACCTCATGATCCGCCCTTCTCGGCCTCCCAAAGTGCTGGGATTACAAGCTTGAGCCACCGCGCCCAGCCTATTTTTCTTTTTATTGGGGAAAAGCACGTAACATTAAGTTTACCATCATAACCATTTTAAAATGTATAGTTCAATAGTGTTAAGTATATACATACTGTTGTGAAACAGATTTCTAGATCTCTTTCCTTTTGAAACGGATACTATCCCCATTAAACATGAATTCCCTTCACCCTTTCCCCCCAGCTCTTGGCAACTACCTTTCTACTATCTATTTCTGTGATTTTGACTACTTTAGATACTTCACAGGAGTGGAATCATACAGTGTTCATACGTTTGTGATTGGCTTATTTCATTGACATAATGTCTTAAAAGACTCATCCATGTTGTAGCATGTATCAAAATTTTATAAATTTTTAAAGTTGAATAATCATCCATTATATGTATATGTCACATTTTGTTTCTCAATTCATCTGCTAATGGACCTATGGGTTTCCACATATTCCTTTTGTGAATAATGCTGCTGATACAGCTCTGATGACTGCAGGAACACCAGGGTCCTTGGGCTCACACTGATTTAGATAAAATGACACAGACACATGTGGAGTGGTTTTAAGGAGCGGAGAGTTTGTTAGGCAAGAAAGAAGGAAGGAAGAAGAAAACAGCTCCCCTATACAGAGAGAGAGGGAGGGAGGATTCTAACAATGAGAAATCCTGTGTGTGGCAGAAGAGTGGTTGCTTATATTGGGATGCTGGAGGAGGCACTGTCTGATTTGCACAGGGCCCAGGGGATTGGTTTGACCAGGTGTGTCATTCACATAGCCCACAAAAACCTGGCCCTCCCACGTGAGCCCTTTAATATGCAAATATGGGTCACCATGATGTTTTGAACACATGGTATTATCTGGAGATGGCCATGACACTTGTGATACCTGGTGACAAGGAGAAGA